GTGATGCGGAGCGCCGCGTGTGTGCGTTGACTCACCCAGGCTCTATTTATAACCCCCCGGCCCCTCCGGCACAGGCCCTGGGGCCTGGCAGCTCCCGGTGAGTCACCGACACAGGCACGCACGCCGGCAACGACACAACCCCCGTCCGCGAAACAAAGAGTGAAAAGATAAACAAAAACCCTCAAAGGCAATCAAGAAGCGCAGAGCTTGCGGAGGCGAGACCCTCGCAGCGCGCAGGCCCCGCCCCCGCAGAGCGGAGCGGAGACCGCCTGGGTCGAGCCCCTGGCCCCCAAGAAGTGGTGCGTGTGAGAGGACCGGGGCATCCTCAGCCTGCTGGTTAACCACACCGCCCCTGTGGCAGGCGCAGGGCCTGGAAGAGCTGCCCCCTCTCCCTTTGCTATGATGTCTGTGTCTGTGTGTGTGTGTCTGTGTGGCTATCGCAACCGGAGTGTCGAAATAAAAACATTTCGCCTGCGCTGCCACAGCGGGCGCGTGCCCGGAGCCGCAGGGGAGGGGACAGCTGCCGGATGGGCACTGCGAGGGTCCTGGGAGGACGCCGACGGGACGCTCCGATATTGATCATCGATCGCCTCTTTCGGGAGCGGCCCCGCGGGGAGAGAGGCAGCTAATCGATACGGTTGCACAGCCGGCTGATCAGCTGACTGACACGGGGAGAGGGCAGGGAGGGGCCGAGAGGGGGGAGGAGAGATCCAGACAGAGAGGGGGGTCAGAAGGAAAAGAGGAGGAAGAGAGGAAGTGGACGAGTATAAGGAGGGAAACAAGAGGAGACAGGCTCGGAAGGAACGAGGGCAGGAGAGACGGAGAGATGTCACGAAGCCCTCCCGATGTGCAAGTCTGCTCTCCCAGCTTGGGAGCGAAGGCGATGGTAACAGTTTAATCATGTCTAATTGAAGACAGATGGACCGGGAGAGCGCGCGGCCAGCGAGAGAGAGGACAGGAAGAACGCATTCAGAACACAAAAGGAAAGAAGGTGTTTTGGGTGTGCTCCACGATGTGCTCAGTGATGCCCCCCCCCCTTGTCAAGACTCGTGAGGACGGGCCTGTAATCTGTATGCTGTCAGCGGAGGCGTAAATAACACGAAATGACACGCAAGCCCCAGAGCTTAATTTGGCGTATCGATCGTGAATCCCGCGGACGAGCAGGAGCAGCTCGCTGGAGCTTGTCCGACGCTCCGGCCCCCTCTGCCCTGGGAATTATGGCAGCGGCGTGCGCCGGCTCT